AAAAATAAGCTACTATACGATTATCAGTAGTTACTCTATAGTAAAGTTAAAATTTTACTAAGCAAATTGATATAGCTTATTAAGTAAAAGTTGTTCAGAAGATCAAAATACATCTATATTACTAAAATTATAAAATGTCTGTCTGCTTAAAGTATTCTGATTGGTCGATTTTAGATACCCATGATCTGGGTCATCAGTTGATTATATATAAGTTTCTATTTTATTAATTACTATTACATAGTCAGCTAGCATATTACATTTAGATTACATATGCTCTTGAATGTATGCCAAGTTGCATATACTTTATTTATTCGAAGTATAAAATGGAATTTAAATACGAATTACAAACCAAAAATGCTATTATTCAAGAATATCAAAAATTTATTTCTATCTAATTCGAACCTATTTTTATTTTATTTTCAAAGACTATTTATAACTTTTCTTATTCGAATTCATAGAACTATTTGCATGCTTATTTTCATAATGAGTTTCAAAACTGTTTGCCGATTTGAAGTAATAGCAACTCATCAAATTTCTTAATTAAATATGAAAGAACAAAAAATAGTGGCTGTAAAAGTTTGATATTGATTCCATGAAAATACCAAATATATATAGTTAATAAACTAAATCAATGGTGTAAAAAAACTTTATTAAACAAACCAGTTTTTAATATAGCTTAAACTACTTTTTGAATACCAAAAGAATTGCAATAACTTTTTCTAACCTAACCGTCAAATAGGTTCTTTTTTTAAAATATTTTTTAAGTATTTATGTCTGATAAGTAGCAAAGATTTATTATCATATATGAATTTGCTTTACTGTAAGAATCAACTGTTTTACCCAGCAAAAATAAATCTTTTACTACTTCCATGTTCAAATAAAGCTTATATTAAATATTTCTTTTAATAAAATAACTCTACACTTTCTCATGACAGAAGCAACATATATTGAAGTCAATACTTTTGGTAGAATAATCATAATGTTGGTATAATAATTTTGAGTTTTAATTATTGAAATATTATATTTGCAATAAATATTATAGAGCACATTCGTTAGAATATCTAAAAATTTGTATTATAGATCATGTTAGTAGTTTTTTTTATTAAAGAAATATAAAAAATTGTGTTATCTCCTTTATAATACATTCATATAATTGTTTAAGAGCTTATAGTTAATAATGTAATATAAATTTACATTGAATATATGTATTGTTTTTTGATTGTATATATATTGCGATATATAACTCATTAAATTTTGCATATATTTTAATGTCTGCATAGCATGTATAAATATATATACATATATATAGACTTCTTTGTTTATATACCAAACTTTCTACCATTCTCTCAATAGAAAAACAATTAAAAATTAGTTAATATACTTATACCATGTTTTTTACCTTTTGTTGCTTTTCAATACTAATGCCAGATATAAAGCTTCAAGTCAAGAATATAGAGAATCTGATATAGTGTGAAAATATAGAAAAAAAGCAACTGAAACAACTAAACAATGTTAACTTTGCCAACAAGCTGATGCGAGTACCCAACATCAGCTACGAACTAACAGAGCCAAAGAAAGATATCTTTGCCAAAACCAGCATAACGCTATTACTCACCTTTCACGACAGACAAATAATCTACAACTACTTAATTTTGCACATAACTTCTCTGAAGTTTTAAATACTAACAAGCATCCTTTTTCACACCATATCGATGTCGAAAGTAGCACTAATTGTACATATTGTAATGCCTTAAAACTGCCCACAGAAAGCCTTAGAATATATTGCTTAAATAGGAAGATGGTGTTAGCTGAACCTAATATATCACCACTTTTGAATCATCTTTTTTCCAGTAACGATAATATGGCAAAAAAATTCAGAAACAAAATTTGGCTTTATAATTTTGTGTTTACCTTTATTTCTACTAGTGCCAAGATCGATAACAAGCTTGTTAATACAAGAAATAGTATTTATATTTACCATATACAAGGCTCTTTTTATTACAAAATTGGTTCACTACTCCTGAAACCTGGCTTTGATCCTACCTATTTACAAATATATGTCTTTGATACTCAACAAGAACTATCTTATTGAACGAATACAGTTCCTAATTCTGGTCTTAATCTTGAAATTATTCAATCGCTAAAAAATATGCTTGACGAAATAAATCATTATGTTATCAACTTCTATTATATTTCAATGCTATCTACTGAATCTATTAAAAATTTAGCAGTAATTATTCAAGCTAATATTCCTGAACTTGATTTACAAACATATAATACATCGACTACTTCACAGGTAGCAGCAATTTGGGTTGACGATAAGGTCTTTTTTAATGTAATTCAAAAATATGATATTGTATTACATACAAATATAGACCAATTGATTTATATTTCTAAATTTAATAGATACTATGACCCTCTGGCATATCTAATTCTGTTTTTTTATAGTAAACAAGGCTGGGCTTCCTATCAAATCCCATATAGAGACATTTTTTTAATAATTGACAAAAACAATATTAAAAATTCTGATCTTGATAATGAAATTAATGAAGTTTTGAATGATGATAATAACAACAATTCAGAGCTGAAAAATAACCAAACTAGAAACAATAAAAATTTTAACATAAAGAAGCATAGAAAATTTATGAGCACAATAGAATTTTACGCATATAAAATTCAAATTTGACCTCAGTCCACCAATCTGCTTATAAATGTAGGAAGGCTTTTTTAACAATTCATAGTTGATATGTATATTAAAATTGAGGTGAATCGCTTAAATTTCTATTGGCAAAATCAGGATAAAATTAGGTATGATTTATATAAAGGTCTTCAAGATGCAGTTTTACATGGTGATTCTAATTCACGAAATATTGGGCAAAAAATTATTCTTCCATCAACTTTCATTAAGGGTCCTTGAGATATGATTTAAAGATATCAGGATGCAATGGCTTTATTGAAGATTGGTAGACCTGATTTGTTTATCACAATAATGTATAATTCAAAATAGCTAAAA